AGAATGAAAGATATCTCTTAATTTGTTTTTAAAGACAGTGTTTATTGTGCAAAAAATTGGTTATACCATGGAAATAATGAGTAAAAAACACAGGTCAGGCTGGCAAACTGAAGGATAAAAATAAAAGGGTCACGATTTATTTTAAAATACAATTCACACTATCAAACCATCAACAAGACTCTAAGCTCAATAAACTACTAATTAATAGTTATGAAGGTAGTAGTTGGGTTTAAGTATTGGTAAATGGTGCAAATGGTGTAATCTGTTACTTATACTAAAGTGTTATCATTAAAATGACCTCATATATCCAGTGCAATACTGAGAGATTATTTAAAGATAATGACTAGAGAGGAAACAATTGGTCATATCATGAGAAACATTACAATAACAATAGTTAGTAAGGTAGTAGTTGGGTTTAAGTATTGGGTAGGATTAGCGATGTGAAATAAGATCATGCTTTAGAAGTGCTTATATAGAATAACCCAAACGTTGTCTTGATGATGAAAGAGCTCACGGCTTGCTGTTATTTGCTGATGTGCTGTAATTTTGAGCTCCTCAGCGCTCCTCGTTTGGAGATTTCCACCAAGACAAATTGTGAATTGAGCAAAACTGATTGTGTTCGACACATGTTTGGCGGTTCAGAGGGCTTTTGGGGTCGGCGCTGTAATAAAAACATCACCAGGCGTCTGAGAGCTCCAGGCAAACACATACAATTAAATCTACCTGCGTGAAGTCGACCCTCGCTGCGCAGCGGGGGCCAGAACAATTCTGCATCCACACTCCACTAAACCTCCAGCCTTTTTTACTTGAGATTAAAAATATGAGGAGACCTCAGTGAAATGTGATGATAATTCTGGTAATACTGTATAAGGTTTGGGTTTGCTTCACACACAAAATCACAATCACGGTTATTTAATAGACACTGGATGTTTTACAGTATACAGACAACACTGGGGAGAAGCTCTGCTTTATGTTATGCCGTCTTTTAAAAGATCATTAAATGATTATTGACCTTATTCTGATATGGAAGTCTGCTCTTTTGCGATTGTTTTAGAACTTTCCATTCAGTTTCCTATGGCAGAAATGCCTAGGAAGAATAATAAGCAGCAGAAAACACTCTACTCTAAAATACACTCTAAAAAAAAGGTTCCTAGAGGTTCTATATAGAACCTTGGGGTTCTATACTTGGCCAGTAGAACCTTTTACCCAAAAAATGGTTCCATTTAGAACCCTTTGAGTGCAAAGAACCTTTTTGATTAAAATGGTTCTCTAGTTTTTGATTCATAACATACTTATCTAGTAAAGATTATAAAATAATTACAAGCTATAACACAGATATACAAAGCTTTTTGAGTCAAAACCTAATAAAATGAATGCTGTGAATAATTGATTTGGCATGGGAGAACATGTGGACACTGTGTGGAACTCGGCATCTGTACAGTGTATTAATCAGCTACCCGTGTGCCAAAGACAGGACTGTGGAATCTTACATTTCTCCTGGCAGATTCTTCTCAGGATAATGATGTTTTGAGTCTTCTCGTCTCCTGCAGTTCTGGATGAGTAAAGATATGTGCTGGTAAATCCAGGGGGACGAAAGCTTCAATAACAGTGAAATTAGGGTCTATTCCTCTTGTTACCAATATACCGTGGTAAACAGCCGTCGCCGGTTCTCACGGTGGTACTCAAGCTGATGCTGTAAATGTGCTGTGGCTCAGACTCGCTGTGAAAAAGAGACCTGTGGGGGACGCTGGGACATTCTCTCTCTCTCTCTCTCTCTCTCTCTCTCTCTTTCTCTCTCTCTCTCTCTCTCTTTTCATTTGTTTTTCTTTGTTTTGTATAGTGACAACATAGCAAATAAATGTCATAACAACTATATCCATAGCAACTGTATAGAAACCACTCAGAGCCTCCGTCTGTCTGTCTGTTTATCCATCCATCCATCCATCCATCCATCCATTCCTCCATCCATCCATCCATCCATCCATCCATCCATCGTTCTATCTTGCTTTCTGTCTTTCTATTATCAATCCATCTATCAATCCATCCAACCGTTCATCCATTTGTCCATCAGTTTATCCATCCAACCATCCATCTATCCATCGTTCTATCTATCTTTCTGTTGTTCTATCATCAATCCATCCATCCATCCATCCATCCATACACCCATCCATCCATCCATCCATCCATCCATCCATCCATCCATCTATCTGTCCATCCTTCTATCCATCCATCCATTCAT